ACTTTATAGGCTAAAGGTGAGCACGTTGATTATTATGCTCATCCCCTCATTTTCAGGTTCAGCAGCTGAATGGTGGCACTGGAGGGGTGCGTGTGGTGGTCCCTTACTTATTTTATTTGAGTTTATATTCAGAACGCTTTTGTAGACTTAGCATTTAATTCCATGTCTTTTATGATCTTGGATTGGTTTGTACTGTTTTGATTAGAGAATTATGAGACTTGTTATTTAAGATTATGCATACATGTTTGAGATCTCTGCATTTCTTAAATGTATTATGGGAGTAAGGAATTTTCAGAAAGAGTAAGAGTAAGAGTGAGAAAGGAAAGAAAAGGGAGAGAAAAAGAAAGAGATTTTTGTGTAACTGTCCGAGAAAAAGAATTTCAGATTTCGAAAATTTAAAATTACTTAGAAAATATCAGCATTTTCTATCAAATAGCAAGTAGGTGTGACATCCAATCTTATCAAACTCCCCACACTCAGAGCATGACTCATTTGCCCCTCATTCCTCTCAGCACTCCTCTCCTACCACCAATTCCATTGACCTAGGTGGTAGACTGATAGTAGATTTACCAATTGAGAATGTTCATTCTGTTTTTTATCCTGACAATGTTTTTGAGATTTCAGGTCACCATCCCATGATCACAAGATCAAAAGCAGGTATTATAAATCGAAGGCATATCACATTCATTCTTCACCTCTGTTGGAACCAAAGAGCATCAAGCAAGCCTTGTCAACACTTGAATGGAAACAAGCCATGATAGCTGAGCTACAATCCCTTCATAAGAACAAAACCTGGACCTTGACAACCCTACCTCAAGGTAAACAACTATTGGTTGCAAATGGGTATTCAAAACATAACTCCATTCGAATGGCACTCTTGACAAATATAAAGCCAGACTTGTGGCCAAAGGTTTTTCCCAAACACCTGGTTTTGATTATACTGACACCTTCAGGGTTGTGGTAAATCCCTCCACCATCAGAGTTATCTTATCTCTAGCTCTATCACATAATTGGTCAAACAGACAGCTTGATGTAGCCAATGCATTCCTCAATGGTGATCTTGATGTTGATCTGTATATGGCCCAACCCCCTGGCTTTGAGGTTCATGATCCTCCCAATTTAGTGTGCAAGTTAAGAAAGACTCTCTATGGGCTCAAACAAGCTTCTCGGGCTTGGTCATTCAAACTTGTTGCTGTTCTTAAGAAATTTGGTTTTCAAACATCCAAATCAGACACTTGCCTCTTATTTAAGCACACCAGCTCCTCAGTCCTCTGAGTAATGGCTTATGTTGATGATATTATTGTTACAAGTTCCTCCTCTTCTGAAATTCAAACACTTGTTCAATATTTGAACTCACATTTTCCTGTTAAAGACTTGGGTACTCTTCATTATTTTCTTGGGGTAGAATTCACTCATAACTTTAAGGGTCTGTTTCTATCTCAATCGAAATTTGTGGATGATTTGCTGTCTAAAATTGGAATGGCTGAGGCTAAAGGTTCTACCACACCCATGAACACACACCCTCCCCTATCCAAAACAGTGGGCTCTCTTATTGGAGATATTACTCTTTATAGGAGTTTAGTTAAAGGATTGCAATACATAACAGTCATCAGACCTGAAATAACTTACAGTGTTGACAAACTCAGTCAGTTTATGCTCAATCCTCTTGACACACATTGGAAAGCTATGAAAAAAGTTTTCAGATATCTCTCAGGAACTATGCACTATGGTTTGCAGCTTTATAGAGATTCTCCTTCACAAATCATGGCTTTTGCTGATGCTGATTAAGCCACTGACCATGATGATAGAAGGTTAGTTTCTGGTTTTTGCACCATCATGGGGAAAAACCTCATCAGTTGGAGTTCAAAGAACAACACTCCATATCAAGAAGTAGCATTGAGGCTGAGTATCGCAGCTTAGCCAAAGCAAATTGTCACATATTGTGGCTTCAGTCCTTGCTTACTGAACTCATAATGAACACTCATAATATTCCAATCATTTGGATTGATAACCTAGGAGCAGTCTCTCTTGCTCAAAATCCTGTTAATCACTCGAGAATGAAGCACCTGGAGATCGACTTACACTTCATAAGGGATCAGGTTGCCCAACAATAGGTTAGAGTCCAACATGTACCTTCTCTGGACCAAATAGTCGATATTTTCACAAAACCTTTTTCAAGCCAATTCTTCACTCGTCTGAGAGACAAGTTGCACGTTTACCTCTCAGCCATGCTCGAATTGAGGAGGCCTATTAGCAGCAGCTTAATGAAGACTAATCCTCCTAGTGACTGAAGTCTTTTGCCACTCACTCTAAGGACTTTTATATTTTTGTCTTCATTCTCCTTTTAGTACGTTGCATGAGCTGACATATATTGCATGTGCTGGTTCCTTTTGAACCGTTGATCTTCTTGTTACCATTGGATCTTAGGGCTTATCTAGTATTTCTTGTAACCCTGAATGTACAGCCTATATAAGGGCTCGTTCATAGCTTTGTAGATAGAGTGATAGTAGCCATTAATGCACATTAATTAAGGTCTACACTAATGGCAGCAAGAATATGCTTAAGTAAATGTTAATAGAAACCTGAAAAACATCAAAANATTAATTTTAGTGAAAATAATTCTAACCTTTTCTTTTTATTAGGTTTCGAATAAAAAATTTAAACATTCATTCATCTTTTTAGCATTCTTGTAGCTAATTATTGATTGTTATTTCTTAATTATCCAAAAGACAAATTTGAAAACTAAAATTGTAGAGCTCTTAAAGCTTGATATATTAGATAAATATTTTATACATTATATTTTATTTTTTATATGAACATGTGAAGAAATATTTTTAGAAAGTAGCTACCGAATAATAGAATTTATAAAAATAACTATGAATGTATATTTCTTTATTATAGTTTTGTTATCATGTTTTATATGTCTTTAAAAATAATTAAGCCCCCACTCATTTTACGAGCTAGATCCGCCCCCGTATGTGTGTATATGTTGACCGCAATTTCATGTTTACTAGGCGACTGGAGAATTGGGATCGTTAATCTTTGACAAGTTGGTACATCCACTTTTGGGACTTGTATGGAAAAAGATTTGGCTACTTCCATAAATAATATTCAAAATAATAATGCCCCACGCACGCTCTACTAGCTAGTGAGTAGAAATTGAAGTAGTAAATTGGAGACTGAATTCTTGTATTTAAAATTATGAAGATACATTAAAAGTGGAAAGTGATGAAGTAGCAAGTTACTGGACTTGCAATTTCCAGGAGTACTCTTTACTTGACGTGGAAATTGGATCGAGCTGTGTGCATCAGTGCTTGTATTTATATTCGAATTTTTTAATATATTCAAACAAAATTCCAACAAGAATATTACGTTGGAATACAATTTTGTACATGCACAAAGTTTACGCATAATCATCACCAGTTATTAAAATGATTTATGTATCAAGAATTTTTAACTATATTCTATTTTTGTAAGTAATTTTTCACAATCTTTAAACGTAATATTTGTGTTTTTATTTTATAATATAGTGATGAATTAACTGAATGTACGATGTGAAAAGTTGAAAATGAAAATTTCAAATAGAGAGTTGAAAAGGAATTGCAATATTTATTGGTATAGAGTCAATTGTTGATGAGTCTCGTGGATTGAAATAATGTTGAACACAAATTTAAAATATCAAACTTCAATTTTATGCCTTATATGTATATAAAATGTGATATTATTAAATATAGTATATTCCTTCTAGGTGTTATTGGAGTCGAGTTGAATACCTCATGTTCAAGTTCGTGTTTGTTTAATAATTGTGTTGGTTGGCTTGACTCGTTATATAAACGAAAAAAATGTGAGTTTGAGCTCAATTAATTTAATAAACAAATTTAATTGGTTGCTTGAGTTTTTACGGTCAATTCGAGTTATATTCGCAAATAATTCATTTCAAGTTACAATTACTGTCCCCTCTAAAAAAATTTCTAGATCCGCCCCTGGTAAACTTCCTGATGTGAGATATGGATATGCAAGAAAAATATCGCATAATCCTAAAATTATGCACTACAAGAAAGAGATGAAATTCCAACGGAAATATATTCCAATAGAATTATTCCAACGGTAATTCCAATGGATATTTCAATACTATTATTTTTTAATGGATTCCAACGGAAATTCCAACAAAAATATTCTGTTGAAATGAGTTTTTCATTGAAATTTTTGTTGGATTTTGACTATTCCAACGGTAGATTTTTCAACGGAGGTGAAAATAAAAATTTCAACGGAAATTGCATATTCCAACGGAAATTCCTATGTTAGAAAGCCGTTGGAAATATAGTCGTTGGAATAATCAAATTCCATCTAAAATTCCAATGAAAAACACATTTCAACGGAATATTTTCGTTGGAATTTCTGTTTGAATCATTCCAACAGAAGCTATACATTGAAATATCCGTTGGAATTTCTATTGGAATATATTACCATAAGATTTTCGTTGGAATATAACAACTTTTTTGTAGTGATGGAGGGTTTAATTTGGATATGCGATAACTAAATATGGAAAAGAAATTCGAATAATTACAAAATATGTGGTTGATTTTGGATATGCGATCACTAAATATGTAAAAAAAATTCGCATAATGCGCAAATTATGCGTTCGATATATGGATATGTGTTGTTGTATATGCGACAAACTGTGGCATAACAATTAATTAAGCGGTTCATCTGGATATGCGATTATAATATCATACAACACTTTGTTAATTGTGAGGTGAAAAAGAAGTTATTTAACAGATGGTGTAAAAACAAGAAAGAGTATAGTTATTTAATGGAATTAATGAAAAAGACGTTCCTCCTAATAATAATAATAAAAAAAGGCAAAATTGCAATTATTATTGCTAGAATTATACCAACCTTTGTCCCCCTTGTGACCTCACTAATCTCTGTTGCATTATATATAAGGACAAGGCATAGGAGGAGAAGAGAGAATCCCCCATGCATGGATTCATAATATATAATTAATTAATGTTTTCAGTTAATTATATTCTACCTTAGCCATCTCTTTGCTACGTACACACAAACACACATATGGGCAAGGGACGAGCACCGTGTTGTGATAAGAACAAGGTGAGGACTGGGCCATGGAGCCCAGCTGAAGATTTCAGACTTGTTACCTTCATTAAAACTCACGGCCACCCCAATTGGCGTGCCCTCCCTAAACAAGCAGGTCCATCCCAATTTTTTTTTTTTTCTTTTTGTTTTCTAATGAATCTGTGTGTATTTATCATCATGTTATTATTGACTTGATGATTTAACATTTTTTTTTATTTTTTTATTTTTTTATTTTTTTGCAATCAGCCTTAATTTCAGCTTCTTTTGCCTGTGCATTAATGTGATAATTAACCAGGAAATTTCTTGATTTTAGAAAAATATATAATCCCCCGACACATTTTCTCTTCTATGTTGGTTCCACTTATTCCTAGTGCTTTATCTACATTAGATAGTTTACTTTCTCCAAACTTTTGTCCCTTTGGACTGCGTCTACTTTCCGTTTCTTAAAGTCTTTAATTTGTTCAATCACTGTCATTAATTAAATGTGTACAACATTAGCATTATCGAATGCATGATTATTCTCTCAGCAAAAAATAAAAGTAAACATAAAATGTTTGGTATCAAAACTAGTGTTAGATACTCGTGCGATGCACGGGGTGCAATACAAAACATATTTTTTGTTAAATATTATAAAATTATTTAAGACAATATAAAATTATATTCTCCACAATATTCTATTCAGTAATAATATGACATTTATTTATTTACTATTATTATTAATTTATATTTTTATATATTTTTTGTAGTTTTTGACTATTTAATATATAAATTTTATTATATTTAAGTTTATAAAATATTATAAATATATAAGATCATATGATATTTGCATACAAATTACTTATATGTACCTATAAAATTGCCGTTTATCATAGTCTTGCAATTTTTTCAACAATTCATAATTTGCACATTGTTTAATTATTGATCAACGTTTAACCCATAATATTTATCTTCTGTTATAGTTATTAAGTGCATTAAATGTTAAAAACATTGATAAATAATTTTTAATTTTTAGTAACTTTAATCCATATGCAACACAAAAAATTTTTTATGGTTAATTATTTATTTTTATGTTTTCATTTTTCATTTACATTAATTTCTTTAATTCATTTTCAACCTATATAATGAGTTACATAGTATCTATTCGAATATTTAGCTATATTATATATTTTCATAATTACCAAGTGCTATAATTTAAATTATTATACATTGATTTTTTATTAACTTATTTTTCATTTATAAAATAATATATAAGAACAAAATATATATTTTTAAAAATTGAATAGTTTTTTAATATACATAGATATTTCTAAGGTGAAATTATAATTCAGAATTGCACCCGACTATCAAATTTTATTTTTATTAGTATATTATTTAAATTTTCAATAGCATTAGCACTGCATATGATATATTCAATTGGAGATGTACCTTTTTATAGTTAAATTGACTACATTTTAGAAACTTTTATTAATATTTTAATTTATTTATTAAGGTATAATGATTTAAACATAGTTAATCTGATTTCTTTATTAAATATATTAAGTACTTCTGAATAGTGAACATAATTAATTAAATTAATACCTATAAGCATAGATAATAATATATTTAATCAAATCAATTTCCATAATAATATTTTGAATTGTGTCAATAAATTGCTATTAAATTATCATAAGATCTTATTGAAAATATATCTAATAAATTTACGGTCAAAATTTCAATTGAAGTCAATTTGTAGTTAATGAGTAATAATAGTCATTGAGTGTATACAAATTAATTATGTTTTTCATGCATAAGATTTGCTAATGAATAAATATTAATTCAATGTCAAATGTCAAATGTATACGAAAAAATTCTCCGCCCAAATTCATGTCAATTATGGCAATAAGGATTGGTCCATTATATAGATATAGACATGGCAAAAATGTTAAATGATTGAAAAGCCTTACAAATCAATTTCTTTTTTCCTTTTTTTAATTTAATTTGATTTACTATATAAAGCGAGTTAAGATTGAAAAAATTTAAATGAACAAAAATTTAGTTTTGATTTGAGTTTGTGTGCTCATGAGTTATATTGTAATAATAAAAAAAATTGTATTCAATAGTAATTCCCTACCCAAAATATTATCCCAGATGAAACAGAATTATTTCGTTTCCAATGGCACCTTGTCTTCGGAAGTTGTTGGGAATTCTGAGGGTTGCAACGACAACCACAACTAAACAAAATAAATATCCGAAGTTGTTTTTGCAATTTAAATATCGAAATAATTAGTAGAATAAATATTTAAAGTTGTTTTTGCAAATTAAAATATGGAAATATTAGCTTTTCAGTTTTTGGTTGTAGGACTACTTCGATGCGGAAAGAGCTGTCGTTTGCGGTGGGTTAATTACCTAAGTCCTGACATCAAACGAGGAAATTTCACACCCGAGGAAGAGCAAACCATAATTCAACTGCATAGCTCTTTTGGAAACAAGTAATAAATTAACTTAATTTAATTATCTGAAATATTACAACTTCATTCAAACTTAATTACTACCTTATAACTATTATTAACTTTGTTATATAACTTCAACATGAAACACACAGGTGGTCCAAGATTGCAGCGTGTTTGCCTGGAAGAACCGATAACGAGATAAAAAACGTTTGGAACACACATTTGAAGAAAAGGCTAAAAATGTCCAAAATAAGCCCTTATAAAATGGGTGCTTATCCTTCATCCAGCACATCAAGCAGTTCCATAGCAAATGATGATGAAAACTTGGAAAATTTTCTTAATTATCAATGGATTGACGAAGAAGAAATTAATCACTTGCTCGAAATCCAAACTAACGAAAAAACCGAGCTAGAAATACGCACGGACATTAATAATTCTACACTCTCGGAATTAACTCCGGTTTCTAATTATAACGAGCCTCAACGCGAAGTTGATGATTTCGATAGTGGCAAAATTGTAAATTCATCGGATTTCGATGTTGCTTTCTGGGAATCTTTTGACACCATCATGAGTGATCAAGAAAACGTTGTTGAAAGCGAACTCGAAAAGTGGTTGAGAATGTTGGAAGATGAAGTTGGACTAGCAAGTGGTGGCGATCACAATTTGCCAAAAGACAAAGACCCAATAAATAATAATTAATAATTTTGATCTTAGTCCACATGATCCGGATTGTGTATGTTGCAACCAAGGACTTTCTTCTCCTGATGAGTATTTTGGATTCTAAAAACATATACAATAAGTCAATTAAATTGGGCCAATCAATATCATATCTCCTCAGAATCGTGTCAAAGTTGCCCAATTTTATTTCTCTTTTTGTTTTTATTTACAATATTGTAATGTAAACGTTAAATCACCACCGTCAATTGTTGGTGCCTTTAGATTTTTTGGGCTCAGTGTTGTGTATTTGCCTTGGTTTTGGTTGAGAAGTTGGTAACTAGTCGAGACAAATCACAGAGGCAGCCCTATATATATTAGCCTTATTATTTTGACTGCCAAAAATGGCAAGGCAAATTAAACCGGTCAACTGACGTAGCTAATAATTTTATATATAACTAGTACGTTTTATGTAGTCAGTGCGTGATAGAGATGTTAAATGAGTCATTTCTATAGGATCTGTTTGTTTCAGTCCATAGAACAATAGAATTGTATCATATATTCTTCACTTCTTTTAATCAGGGTTGTGTTTTTCAGTCATAACGTTAAACATGAGTCTGCTAGCTCAAGGTTTTAAATTAATTAATATATTATCATGCTAATTATACGTTTATCCTACGATAAAGTTGATTCAAGTATATATGTTTATTCCCTCATAGAAGAATAAATAACAATTTTACTTATTCTTGTTCACCATATAATACTTAATTATTATTTTATTATAAAATTATTTTCATATAACGTCGTTATTATTTTTATAAAAGTAATAGAGGTAGTCTTTGTTTTATATACATATATATATATATAATGAAAAATATTTAATATACGTTAATATTATTTATAAAGTAATTATTTTAAATTATATATATATTTAAATAAAACATTGTTTATAAATATTTACAAAATATACATGCATGTTTTTTAATAAAAATTTAAAAAATTAAATTTAGCAACTGCTAAAAACTAAATCTCGTATATAATCATGAGATTTTTATAGTTTGCGCTTTATAGTTTATTCAACATACTATGTAATGGAAATATATTTAGCAAAAATTTCATTATGGAAAGAAATTAAATAAAAAAAATCTAAAAAAATTAATCACATTTCAAAATGATATTTATGTGTTTTACATATAAAATATTGTAACATATAATTAATGTAAAAATAATGAACTAACATTTATTCGTGCCTAGCCTAAAATTAGTTTTCTTTTACTCAATAGATGGGATGAGGTAAACTGTTCTATCGCATTTATTTCAATTTATAAGGTGGTATACACTACGAAAAAATTGTAATATTCCAACGGAAAATCCTATGGTAATATATTCCAATGGAAGTTCCAACGGATATTCCAATAGTATAGCTTCCGTTGGAATGATTCCAATAGAAATTCCAACAAAAATATTCCATTGGAATGTATTTTTCATTGGAACTTTAGATGGAATTTGGTGATTCCAACGGCTATATTTCCAACGGCTTTGCACCGTAGGAATTTCCGTTGGATTTTTATTTCCACCACCGTTGGAAAATCTACTGTTGGAATCGTCAAAATCCAACGGAAATTCCAATAGAAAACTCATTCCAACGGAATATTTTTGTAGGAATTTCTGTTGGAATAATTCCAACGGAAATAATAGCATTGAAATATTCATTGAAATTGCCGTTGGAATTTTATTGAAATATATTTCCGTTGGAATTTAATCACTTTCTTGTAGTGTATATATTTATATATCAATCTTACTCATATACTTTAGGTGTAACATATGAGGTTGGATTAGGGTAATCAATTTATGAGGTTGATTATTACTATTCCCCTTATTCCACATGGTATACATACTATAAAAAACATGAGTTTTAGTTGCAATGTTTGAAAATTTTAATGGCAAACTAGTCAAACGTACTACACGTTTCATAAAGATGTTCGAATGACTGTGTTTATGGACATACAAATTATGTTTTATAATATACATTACAATAAAATGATGAAATTCCAACGTAACTATGTTCAAATAGAATTCTAACGGTAATTTCAATGGATATTTTTCCATGCTATTATTTCCGTCGGAATTTTCCAATGAATTCCAACATAAATTTCAACAAAAATATTCTGTTGGAATAAGTTTTTCATTGGAATTTCCGCTAGGTCTTAACATTCATCCGATAGATTTTCTAACGGGGGTGGAGATAAAAATTTCAATGAAAATTGCATATTCCAACAGAAATTCCTACAGTAAAAAACTGTTGGAAATATAAATGTTGGAATCATTAAATTCCATCTAAAATTCCAATGAAAAACACATTCCAATGGAATATTTTCATTAGAATTTCCATTGGAATCATTCCAACGGAAGCTATACCATTGAAATATCCGTTGGAATTTCCATTGGAATATATTGCCATAGAATTTTCCGTTGGAATATAACAATTTTTTTAGTGATAACAATAACAAAAATTATGTATGTTGCGCAAATTATTCTTTGATCCGGTTTGGATCGTGAGCCACTGGTTTGAACCGTCTCGACGTCTCCGGTCGCGAGCCACTGGCACGTATGACGTGTGTGAAGTCTATATTGGATAGAAAAGACAGTTTCAATATCGACTGGACTGTATGTTTCTTGTCCAAGTTGGATTGTTATTATATGACCCTAATAGTTGGATTTATTTATTTGCCATAATAGTTGAATTTATTTATTTATTTCCATATTTATCGTCATTATTTTTTAATACGCCTAATATTTATTTATTGGATGTGCATATTAATAATTTAATATGCATGGTAATTAATTTATTGTGATCTATCGCATATGTAATTAATTAAAGTACATGGATATTAATAGAAAAAAACCCTCTACTTTAAAATAATAAGTACGAGTAGGTTTTCTTATGTTGAAATGACTTTTGAAAAAAACCTAAGGCCTCCAATACTAGTGTGTCGGTTGCATGTGTCTTTCTCCACAACGGATGAATTAATTACAGGTTGTCAGGACGAACTTCCTTCGGGATGGTTGGAGTAAATTATATTCGGAGCATGTTCCCCCATCTAACTTGGGTTCATAATCCTTTATAGTGTACTTAGAACCATGTAATGAATTCACTTAGAATATGATTAAGATGCCATCGGCCAACAAAGTCGTTTTGTTATATTCATATGACAAAAGGAACTGGCTATTCATTTTGTTTCTCATGAATTGTGTTGATTTAAGGAAATTAATGGGTGTACACTTCTCGTGTGAATGTTGAAAGTAGTAAACATCCACATTAATGTGGCTTGCGAGATTTTTTGTGTTTTGAGATGTCGGTGAATTAAATAAATATAGTTTAGAGGGATCAATATTTATGTTTTAAATAGAAGTTTTGAATAGTATTTTTTCATGATTTTCATAAATATTGAAATATATCTTTCAACCAGTTTTGAATAGTAATTTTTCTTTTCACAAATTTTACTTAGTAGCTAAAATGATAAAAATAGCCTTTTGAAGGCACCAAATAAATGTTTGGATTAGTTTATTCTTTTTTATGCGGCCCTATGATTTTTTTGAACGAAATGTAGTTTCGAATATTTTTCCTTCTTTGAAAAATTATTGGAGACATGGTACATTCAAGTTGACATACCATAAGCTTGAGTATTTTTAAGAAATCCAAAAGAGTACAAGGCAGTTGTGGAGAAATGTCAAGGTTAATGTTTAATGGCACTGCAATCGTATCGTGGTGACCAATAATTTTTGGAAAAATCTAGAAGTTACTTATCTGATGTTGGGATTCGATCTTAGAGGGTTGCACCGGGTTCACTCCAAAAGAACGATATAGCATAACAAATGAAAAGGTCACTTGTGGAAAAATGATTGTTTCAATGATGAGTTACTAGGAATTTTTGTTTTATTTATTTAATTTTTATTTTTTTTTTTGGAGATGTACAAAGAGCAGCATAAGTCGTGAATATGGTTCCATATAAATCTGTAGTTTCTACTCCAAGTGAATTATGGACATGGCATAGGCCCAGTCTGAAACATATTCAGTTTTGAGGTACTTCAGCACACGTGTTGGAGGATGATACTTATAATTGGAAAGTCGTTATGAAGTTTTGCTATTCGTGGGATACTCTATGGCAACGAGAGGTTGTTTATTTATAGTGTTAAAAATCAGAAGGTGATCGTTAGTAATGTCTGATTCATGTTTTCAGTTTCTAGCGATAGTTTGGCAAACAAATTCACCAAATTTCTTTCTACATCTACTTTTGAAATATATATTTATGGTATTGATAAGTGTAAACTGTGAAGACTATTATCTTCAGGGGGAGGTACAAACTCAAAATAATCTCGAAGATTATGTCCTAAAGACCTAGTGTTGTGATCTTTTTTCCTTAACTCGGTTTTTCCCGTTGGGTGTATTAGTTAAAGGTTTTTAGTGAGACAGCTAGTAAAGCACATGAATTTATATGAAATCATGTATTTTTTTTTCTCTTGACTAATTTCTTCTCCCTTTCGAGTGTTTATTAACAAGGTTTTTAATGAGACCTGAAGTAATCTCCAAGAGGAGTGTTATAAATATATTAGTGTATGAACATTACTAAAATACTTTTTTTGTTTGGTTTGGTTAATTTTGAAAAAGTTGGTATGATTAGTTGTTAGTGGGTATATTAGAATAATATTTAAAATAAAATGATTAAAGTTGATTTGATGTAAAGTAGGAGAGAGAAGATTTGCAGTGATGGTTAGTTAAAATTATGTGAGTGGATGAATAGTGAATCAAGTAAGGTGGTGTGTAAGAATGATTGATTGATATTATTTAATTATATTGATGATAGTGGGATTGAGTTAAAATTGAGTTAAAATCTGTAATTGAGTTAAAAATGTTTGGATTTTTTTGAAAAATTTTGTATCCAAGCATGCTCTTATTGGGCTTGAAGCCTATTAGCTAGGTTAGATTAGATTTAGATCTATTTTGTAAAGCCTATAAAATGGAGAACACGATGAATGAAAGGGATGACTTTCTATCCTCTCTACTGCGTTACATTTATATTGTTATAGAATGATGAATGTTTGGTGAAGATTAAGGATTTCCATTTATATATCTCATAAAAATTAGTTCCCAATTATTAATTTCATTTACTCAAAAAATAGAAAAGAAATGAGAGAAGTCTGTAGCAATTAGATAACAGGCTGAAGAAGGACTACCCAATATGTTTGGGCCTATTAATTTAGTCCATTTTGAGCTTCATTGTCAGTCCAAAACTAACACCAAAACGACAGTGTTTTATTTTTTTAGTCATCCAACTAAAAAAAAAAAAGCGTTTCCGATAATAAAAGAAACAGGGCTCAATTTAGGGTTTGAAGGCACATCAATCGAATGGGCAAATCCAAAGACGATTACAAGCTGAATAGATCTTCTCTTTCTCCGAGAGGTTCGCATTCATTTTCTCCTTGATTGATTTACGTCGTACTTGAATTCTGTGAATTATTTCTGCACTTGATCTTATTTTACACTCATTCTGTGGTCTTTCTTTTGTTGGAGCAGATGAAGAGAGAACCAAAAGGCATAAAAGTAAGGAAGATGACAGAAAACATAAGTCCAAGACGAAGCAAAAATCTCATAAAATTTCCAAGCGACATTCTGATAAAGGTACTTTCTTTTACATTCTTCTGCTACTTTTTTTTAATTGAATTCCAGTTGTTTAGAATTAATTTCCAGAACTATATGTTCATTTTCATCCCCTTTTTTGGGGTAGTCCAATTTTAATTTAGTTTCCATTTTTTGCCCCAGATCATGTGTACATTTCTTATTAACGTTTAACCTCCCTCTCATGTGCTCAGAATAAATTTTATCATTAGTTTCTTACTTGGGAAAAGTTTGTTAGTTTGCTATATGTTGTTTTCAGTTAAGATTTTCTGCAATAATTGTGTTATACTAGTACTCAATGCACAGATGTAAACAAAAACTATTTATTATGTGTATGTATATAATATTAAATATTTAAATTAGATAATGGGTGTATTACATTTTAAATTATTTATGATTAGGAAATAAACAATGTAAATATAAATTATTTAATGAATAGTTTTATTGATGACATAAAATGTAATAATGTAATGTTTGCAGTTGTTAAAGCAATTGTTTATGTGATTTCAATGGGTTTGATTATGCCACTAAAACCAGTTAACTAATATTATAGTAAATTCACTTAATAAGATGAAAAAAACATTTATGGTAAAATAAATATCTTAAAAAATTAAAAAATCAATAATATTTTTTATAAGTATGTAGCTTTCACATATAGTTTAATGTAAATTTATAATTAGTTAGTATTAATAGTAGCTATTATATAATAAAAAAAATTTAAAAAATATTATTGTAGTTAATTATTGTGAAATGTAATGGTTTTCTTCCACGTTAATTGAAAAAAATGAGCGGGAAAATTTTGTGATACGCATTAATTGGATAGCCTACAATTATATAGATATATAGATTCTGGCATGGAATTGTTGAATATTGGGTGATGCTGATTATATCGATCGATCCAGGTAAGAAGAAATCTAGCGGGAAGCACAAGGACAAAAGCCACAAGCATGAGAAGATTTCAGTGAGTTCTTGCTAAACTCTATAAACTACAGAATTATTAGAATTTGTTTACAAAAAAATATAAAAAATTCATGGCATGGTTTCTAGAGTATAGCCCATGCTTCCATGTTTTTCATATGTACTATCCGATGTGTCTTACCAGTTGTTGATTTGTATTGATAGGAAAATAACAGTTTTCTAGACATTGTCATTTTTTATAAAATGGTTTTAATTATGACAATCGTCGTTTCGTTATTTCTCAGGGTTCTTTAAGTAGTCAAATATGATTGTTTTCCAGTTGTCAAATGTGATTTTGACTTCATGTAGTATGTGAATTTTGAGTTTTCGTAATCTACTTACAGAAACTGAAGATCCAAGAATTGTCCAAGGATGACTACTTCTCCAAGAACAATGAGTTTGCCACATGGCTGAAAGAAGAGAAAAAAATATTTTTCTCAGACCTATCATCTGATTCTGCCCGGAAACTATTTTCTGAGTTTGTGGAAGAATGGAATAACAAAGATCTCGAGATCCAATACTATGAGGGCATTGCAACTGGACCAAGGACATCACATAAGTGGAACATCAAACAGTAGTATGATTTTTAGTGGTCTCCTTCTGTGTAACTCATGTTTTCTTAGTTTGTTTGAGTCGATCGGTTACAGTGCAAGAGGTTCTTGATATTTGGGTGGTAGAGACTAGTAACAAGATACCAATGGAGTTCATCTTAAGTTACGGAATGCTTGTGGATTGTATATGTTCAGTCTCATCTGTAAATCCTGTTATTGATCAGAAGTTGATGGTTTTCTTGCCTTGTCTGCATATGGTTTTCTTGAGGTCACATTAATAAGTCGGGCTTGTGACGTACGGTATGTAGCGGTTAATTCTCTCATATCCAGTTTTGGTGGCTTTGGTAGTTCTGAAATTATACTATGACTGGGGTCGGTTTTCTAAATTATATGTGGTTTATTTTCTACCGTCACCGTGTATGAGAAATGTTGGGAAAGGCACTGATGGAAGGATGGAGAAATAAAAATTTAACGCTATATAATTTGCTCTTGTTGAGAGTCGAACTCAAGACCTCCCGCTTACTAAACGGGTGCTCTAACCAACTGAGCTACAAGAGCTTATTTATTTATGAACGAGGTTGTATAATTAATTCATTTTTTTTTTACTTTTAGGTTGACCGAAAATTGTCATATAGTTATTCCAACTCCACAGTGCACGCCTGAAGGAAAAGTTGATTCAAGTGCACTATGATGTTAGAATATAACAATCTCAACTCTTATTCATCGTCATATTTAATAAAAGGGGAGGTCGGCTCTGACCATGAAACAATTTGACTCCATTTATATATGAAAAACATAAAAAACGAGATTTGGTATTTTCATTTGACACTGTGATAAATATACAGATGTAGTGAAAGACATGCTCAAGTCTCGACATAAGTGGAAACAGGAATGGCTCTGGGTATCAGGAAAATAGAAGATTCACCAGCCATCTAGCCGTTTTGCGTATGTGGCGACTTGCTTTGCGGAAAAAATGCGTAAGTTTTCCATCGATCTTCCATAAAATTAGAAGGCTTCTTTTGTTACTTGAATAAACATTATCCCATTATATGTATACTGGAGAAGACTGCACCTTTTATATATGCGAGTTTTAAGGAGAAGTTGGAAAATATTTAGTGAACTATTTAATTTTTCAGAACTATTGTAAAAAGGTAATAAAATAATAGAAGTCCACTGACATTAAGAGCATCTCCAACCATATTCTCCATTTTTACAGTTTCTATAGTAAAATCCCACTAGTTTTACAGTTTTAACAGTGCCAGCAACTCCAACTAATTCCCTTTATAATTCCCCTCTAAAAGAATATTCTAAGCATATTCTTTTCTAATTTTATTTGTTTATTAAATAATCTTTACAAATTACATTTTCATGCATTAAGCTTGCATAAAATTTACATATTTATGTACATATATTAATTATTAATTATTATAATTAATTAATAAATTTAAATCAAAATAATAAATTACACATTACATCATAAAACCACGTAGATTACATCACAAAAATTAATTTAAAAAAAAATCATCAACACAAACATGAAACATTCAGTACAATAAGAACTACGAACAAACAAAATACAACACTAGTTATTGTCATGAGAATATTTTTCCCACAAATGTGCAAACCGAGCAAGAAATTGTTGAAAAAAGAAGTGATCTCGCGATGCTGGAGTAACCGTAGGAGCACCAAATTGAAAATCACTTCTAATTGGTGCACTAAGAGCATCTCCAATGTGACTTTTGAAATTATAAAAAATCATCTATATCATCAACTTTTGAAAGTGTGTTACTATTTTTTTCTCCAATACATCTTATCATAAACTCTTTCATGATGAGGTGGATGTCATTTATTGTTGACAATGTTAAGAACACTTTCTAATATCTAACATCATGTTAAACATGATGATTCATCAATCTACTTTATATTTGTTTTAATTTTTTATTTTTTTCTTGTATCAATGAATTGTTTCATTGGTCCACCTATATAAATAACTCCTTATCAAATTTATGCATTGGAGATATTAATTTCATTCGAATTTCTTGTCTTTTAACATTATTCCAATGTGGATTAACATTACAATCACTAATTGACATGTATTAAAAATAATGGTCTTTCAAACTCATAGCATTGGAGATGCTCTAAGATCACGTTGCTATTCGACATTCATATTGTGCAGAATAATACATGCTTTCATTGTATCATTAAGCACCTCTTTTTTCTAAAAACGAACAGGACCCGCGATGATTGCAAACCTTTTTTGCAGAACTTCAAATGCACGCTCAGTATCTTTTCTACATTCCTCTTGTCTCATTTTAAAGTATTTCTCCATTGGATTTGATGGTGCAACATAAGACTGAACAATAGTGGACCATTTTGGATATATACCATCTGTTAAATAATATCCCATATTATATTGTTTACCTTGAATGGTATAATTAGCTGGTGGAGCGATACCTTCAGCAAGATTTGACATTAGAGGTGATGCTTGCAGCACATTAATGTCATTATTGGCACCTGGCATACCAAAATATGTGTGTCATATCCATAGATCACAATCTGCCCCAACTTCTAAAATGATTGTTGGTTTTCCGGAACGTCCAGAGTATTGACCAACCCAACTTCTAAAATGATTGTTGGCATACCTGGAAAACCACGTTGTTCACCAATATGAAGCAATCTAGCGATATCATCGTGATTTGGTGATCTCAGATATTGTGCTCCGAAAACTTCAACGACTCCACGACAGAATCTCTTTACGCATTCATTTGTCGTTGACTCAGCAATCTTAAGATATTCATCGACACCATCTGCAGGGGTTTTATAGGCCAAACTGACGAAGTGCCGTTGTCCCTTTTGTATATGTTGACAATCCAAGATGACCAAGACCATCCCGACGTTGTTGGAAAAAACTATCATGATTTTCCAATGTTGGCATAACACGCTTGAAATTATGAATAGAGATCTGAAACCTACAACGGAATGTATTTGCATCGTAGGTTGGATTACTACTAACATAATCTCGAAACAGAGTGCGATGGGCCTTCTCCCGATCACGATGGACTACTCTATGTCCTGGAACAGAACCTCCCCAAGTTGGTTGGCTACTTTGCGCAGAGATAGCGTGTGCCATAAAAAAAATGTTGGCTTGCAATATATGAGCGGTGGTGGTTGTTTCCAAAGTATTATCAAAAAGAGGTAATGAAACATTTGCATTTTTCTCATCCGAATCATAATTATAGGGAGGAAGATAATTCATTGTGAATGATATTAGAGGGAAGTATTACAAAAATATTTGATAATGAATGTAATATGTAGCTTGGATGGTATGATGTATAGTTTCATATTTATATAGACGAATGAATGAATAAAAGAAATAAATGTTTTCTTCATTGGATTCTTTTTCAGACAAAGTCATGTGAAACTTTATTTATTCACGTTATTTTTTGGACAATGACAAATGCATTGGATTCTTTTATGTGGATGACAACTGAATAAATAAAAAATTAATTTGTCAACAAATGCGTTGGATTCGTTTTATGTGGATGACAAATGAATAAATTAAAAATTAATTTGCATTGTCATCAAATGCATTGGATTCTTTTATGTGGATGACAAATCAATAAATTAAAAATTAATTTGCATTGGATGACAAATGCATTGGATTGGTTTCTCTATTTATAGAACTCACTTCATCAAAAATCACACTCACATCTCATTTCTTCTCCTATTATTGTAGTCTTCTTGTTCCACTCTTCTTGAATATCTTCTTTTCTTCAAAATATCTTCTTCAAAAGGGCCAAAATATTCCAAAACAGAAGATGTCTTAATTGTGAGATGTTACATAAGTGTTTCACAAAACCCAATATCATCAAATGACCAAAGTTCTTCAACTTTCTGGAAAAAAATACATGATGAATACAACTCCCAAAAACACAATGATTTACCAGAACGCTCTATAAGGTCTCTTGACTCTCGTTACCGTCTCATGGAAACCCATTGTCGGAGGTTTGATGGATGCTTGAAGCAAATCGAATATCGCAATCCTAGTGGGACACGAATCCAAGATAGGGTGAGTATTTTATTTTAATTTCAATCTCGGATCATGTTATTTGCTCGTTTTATAGTTATACTTACAATTATATTTTTTTTACTTTGTTTGTAGATGGAGCAAGCCGAACGATTGTTTGAACAAGACCCAAAATATAAAGATGGGTTCAAGTTCCAACATGTGTTCCTATTATTCAAGGAGTTTGGAAAATTTGATGATAATGTCTCCCGACCACGATCTCGTCGTCGGGATTTCGATACACTCAATGACTCTTCCGAGTCCGACGTTCCATATGATGGACAACCAACACCAGAGTCTCCAGGACTGTCGTCTTTTAGTCCTCAACAAAGTGACGATGGTGTTGGTGGAACATCCTCTCAACGTCCAATGGGAGCAAAAAAAGCAAAATTGAAGAAGAAAAATGAAGACCAATTTTGCCAAAATTTTAAAACTCTAAATGCTAAAAGTGATACAATTGTTGATTTGCTGCAGAAGGCCGAAGAACGTCAAAGTGTCCAGCTTCAATTGAAGAAACAACAACTTGATTTGCAGAAAAGGAGGGATGAAGATAGAATTTTGATGATAGATTTGAATTCCCTTACGAATCCCATGATACGTTGACATTGGGAACAAAAACAAATGCAACTTTTACAAGAGAAATTGAGCAATAACAATCTCAAGCAACACCACCACCACCTAACACGGGTCAATTTGGATTTCTCGACAACATCATGCATGACGGAGGAAATTTGAATGATCATTATGGTGACAATTAAGTCTATGGAATCGTTGTTATAGTATGTGTGAGCTTTAATGATGAGTTTTTTTAGTTTATCTTTATGTTGTGATTTTAATTTTATTGTTTGAACCGTTAATTTTAAGTGAGTTGAATGTTTATCCTTACTTTTGTAATTTTAACTTGTTTCTTTGAAATATTTATTTAAGTGAATTTTAATACTAATTAATATTCTATCATATTAATTAATAAAAAATTCAATTTTCCATTACACTAATTAAAATTTTACCATATTAATTATAATAATTAAGTTTAAAACATTTATAAACTATTTCAATTTAATCCATAAAACTAATTAGTTCATTCAATCTAGTTAAAAAAGGCCCACCCAATACATCTAAATGGACCAAAATACAACCCAACATCATTTAAAAAAAAAAAAAAAAAAAAAAAAAACGGAAAAATGTGATAGCGGATGAACAGTAGAACGGTTGGCAAACCGTTCCACAAAATTTCTTTGGAGTTTCCTGCAGAGATGGAGGGCTGGGTTAGAGATGAATTTCCTCCAAAGGTGCCGTTTTTGCTGGCTATAGCGTATGGGTTGGAGATGCTCTAACATTGGCATTATTTGTCAAAATACTCAAAATGGCTAATACAAAGAGCTGACGAAGTTATATATCAACAAAAAATATGACAAAACCTAAAGTCTGCATATCAGATAATTATGCCTAAAGCACCAGCACCATACATAACATATAAACTAAAAGAGCGGGAAGTACAAGATGATGCTATTATCAGAATTAACACTTCAAAAAACACCAACTAAATTCAAATCATCAATTTTTAGGCTGCTGGTGGAAATTGTCTACAACCGACCTTTTCGATAATAGAACAATTACTGGAGCTAGTGGCTTGTTCAACATTTGGAGTTTGCAGCAGGTCCATTTGTCCGTAGGTAATTCAGCTGCAAAACATTGGACTTTCTGAAACTCCATCCTACAGAACAATGCCATAAGTTTGTTTACAAGCAAAACTAGAAACCTAACCACAGACAAAACAGAAGAACTTTCAGAAGCTAACTAAAGACACTCGATAAAAGATACTGAACAAAACATAAGAGTAACTCGTACAGAAACTACATACATCGGCTATTGAAAGAAGAAGTCGATTACATTTTACTTGATTGGAGCTTTTTACTCTGGCCAAGGTTCAACTAGTCGTTATTCTCGAATTAAAAAACAAAAAGTAAAATAAAATAAAATAATTGCTTATATAATGTTACCTTCCACCATCATGGCCCACATAGGCCACAACACTAATGAGGCCTCCAGGAGCAAGGATTTTTGTTGCAGCCTCTAATGCACGCAGGGTAGTCTCTGCCTCTGTTTTGATCTTTTTGTCGCTTCCTGGAAGATACCCCAAATTGAATGCAACTAACCTGGAACACGAAATAAATAAATAAATAAAGTGAAAGTGTGTAGGTGATTGAAACTCAGTTTTCACAACATACATGTCTTTCTTTTATATTTGGGCACTAACAGTACCTTGCTGTAGCACCATCAGGAACAATTTCTTCCATTTTAGTATGACACATAGCATAAAGTTCTACAAGTTTTCTCTGCGCAGCCACAAAACCGAACTCTATATAAGTATCAAAACAAATTAAGGATTACCGCCAAAAGAAAACACACAAACAAACAAGCACGAAAATTCAGGTACTTGGTTTAACAAGAGACAGGTGCAAGAAAGAAGCAGTTTTGTTTACGATGTCAATCTTTCACGGATAGCATAAAATAAAAATAAGTAAACAAACAGACAATCAACTTGAGATCAAGACTGCAATTTGCGATCCCAGCCTCCAGGGTTCAATTAGTTTCTCTTTATTCTCACGACAGCATCCATACTAGATGATATGAACAAAATAAGCTATGAAATTAGAACCAAGGCTGCTCTTGATATTTACCAAGGCAAGAGACTAAGAAGTAGCATCAGGGAATGATACTTATTACAGCAACCAATTATACTGCATAAAAGTAAAACCCATCATGTGAAAGCCCAAGATTTGGTACTTACAAGTAAGAGATTAGGAAGCAACATTTAGCAACCAACTAGCTTACAGTGCACAAAACCAAAACATTCAAGTGGGAGCCGGTATTTTTGTGTCCTACACCAAGAAGAAAATAATTTATCCTTGTAGCTTTACTTATTAGTTCATACTCTTTCAGGAAGTACCACTAAGCCTTGTGCACACATTGATGAGATACAAGTCAGCACAATCCAACTGTGTTAGTTCTGTATTCTGTAATGCATGTAGGTTAAACAAGATTTGAAGTTTTAATCAACTTTGCATTTGAACTAAAACTAAAGTGATAACAACACTCGAAATATGCAAACGAACCAGCACCTCATCAGCAGTGACCGACTGGTCAAGCAAAGAAGATGTATGTTCTAAAGCATCCTTTTGAAGGTCCATTGCGAAAACACGACCTTTGCCAGTATCATCAGCTACTAATCTAAGAAGAGCTAAGGTGTCATATCCCTTTCCACAAGTGGCATCAATTACAAGGTCCCCTTTCTGGACTACATTCTGCCACACCCTATAATATAACAAAGAGCAGTTAAAAATACTACAGACACCACTCACTAGTACCAGTCACAAATTTCTTCAATAAAAATTATATACAGAGGGAAAAATTGAAATTGAAAAAAAAAAGCTGCCGAATCATCTAGTGAGTCTAAAAATACCTACGCTTGAGCTACTACNAAGCTGGGAGGGCACGACGTCGTTCTGAGCGAGGGCACGTGTAGAGATTGATGGTTTTCCTGAGATTGGGCGTAGCGTTAATGGGAGTGGCGACGCGGGGAAGAGATAGCTCCGTAAGTGAGGGATTTTGCGGGTGAGTGAAATGTAGGTATTTGAGTTCAACGCCATGAAAGCCATGGAGCATCAATGATTTGTTGCAAAAACTTCCAGGCTATTATATTATACAATCTTAAGCTGCTCACAAAATTTTGGCAATCCCAAATTAAGAAGGCTTGTCCTCATATAAACAATGGTCTTTTTTTTTTTTCTATAATTTTTCCGTGGCAACAGTTCGTTGGATAGTGAATTAAGTGAAACTGATTAAAAGACGGAAATGTTGATCATAAAACTAATTAAGTGAATACTTCAGATATCAAAAGCGAAAATAAGACAATTGTGGTAAAATATAAGAATTGTCCTAATATTTGTTAAGTAAGCGTATTTCATAAGTTTAATTAATGAAATTTTCTCTAAATATTTATTTAAAAAAGTAAAAAAATAAACATGTCGCAATTTCAATTTATGCATATTATTAGGTATATATGAGACATGTACGAGGGTACTGATGGTAGAAAAGATCCGTGTTGATTTCATTTGGAATAAGAATCAAAATTAGTCAAATTGTTAGTATTGTGTAGATAATATGATGTGTAGTGTTCCATAAAAGATCATATTACCGATTTCTTATAAAATAGAAATATTATTCACAACATAGATAGCAATGGACAAATTATCGGGATGATTGTTTTTAACATAAATTAAATTAAATTAAATTTGATATCTTATAAAATAGAAATATTATTCACAACATAGATAGCAATGGACAAATTATCGGGATGATTGTTTTTAACATAAATTAAATTAAATTAAATTTGATAAGGAATACCGGCAATCCTTTCAAGTAAAAGTTACACAATCAAAACTAGAATTGTTTTTTTATTTTTTTAACAAACCATAATTATATTATAAAACTCAAAAATAGAATTTTTTTTTTATTTTTTTAACAAACCACAATTATATTATAAAACTCAAAAATAGAATACAACCGAGATGCCAACTGACATAACAAGAAACAGAACAAAGTCAGGATCCACCTCTCCTTGAAATTACACAATCAACCAAGAAGAGTTCACAAGACACACACAAACACTCCACCAAGGAAGAGTCCAAACCTACAGACTAAATGCCGAACACAGCTAGACTAAAACCAACTTAACCAAAATAAGAGAAACTACAACATACGTCTACAAAAAGAATAATTCCTCTCCTTCCCCTACTTCTAGCAACCCCATCGTTGTTGCCGCACGACCCAACACACAAGCCGATCCCCAAAACCACATACGAACTGAAGACTAGAACAGTTACTGGTCATTTTTTTCATTTTTAGCACGTGTTAATATGACGTGCTTTACACATTTCGGTTCTCATCTACTCTTGAAGACAACATATCTACTATGAGATGTTCAGGTCAACGGGAGCCAGAAATACAATAAGCGGCCACCTTCATTTGAAATCTTGTAACACAATAACTTGAATACAAGCAGCACTATTTCTCATTGTGATTTTAACAAGAGTGTCTCAGAAAATTACATTAGAGGCCAAATTAAAGCAAAACAAGTATCTATAACACAAATTCATATACTGATACGTTATTAAAACTGGAAAGAAACACCATTTGGTTAAAAGAATGGATTTAAATGTCGTTTTGTATGTCTTACACCGCAACTGGTGTGGCTTCATCAAGAGCAAGCACACCGGGCAACTCTTTGCCTTCCAAGAGCTCCAAGCTGGCCCCACCACCAGTCGATATGTGGCTCATAACATTAGCAACCCCAACTTTCTCAACAGCAGCAACCGAATCTCCACCACCAATAATTGTGGTCACCCCCTTGGGACTAAGTTCGGCAAGCTTGTTTGCAATTGCCTACAGAAAAGTTTCACAATCTCGAATAAAGATGGGGAAAAATATTCTTCTGAAACTCGAATTAGCTTCTTCTTCTTCATTTTTTTTTTTTTTTTTTTTTTTTNAATGTAGAATAGTGTAGGATGAGAATGCAAGAAAAATTAAAATCAAATAAAAATGTATAATAATATTTTAGGCTGGACAGTATTAAAATAAAAAAATTAAAACAGGATAATAATCCAATTTTAAGTCATGTAATATTTCCTTGTTCCTCAAAAATGGAGGTCAAGTAGACAGGGAATGTAAGGTTGATCAAACCGTATTCAAAGGACTCGAAGTTTGGTTCCAAACAAAATCAAAAAATGCAGTTTCTCCAAGATTCCAGCAGATAAACAATTTCAAAGGAAGCTGTCTAGAATTTAGAGACCAACACATAGTAACCAGCATAATGTATATATCTTGGTAAAAGGGAAATAACAGTTGGCTAGATTAGATCAAGACATGTACCTCTGTGCCCACTGCAAACTTGTCGAACTCAAAAACACCCATTGGTCCATTCCATATAACAGTTTTTGTAGTCTCAAGGGCATCACTGAAAGTTTTCACAGAATCCGGTCCAATATCCAATCCCATCCACCCATCTGGAATAGCAGATGATGGCACAACCTGCAAATTCACCAACATCCCACACCACAACTCTTAAAAAATGAATTCTACTCATTTTGTGTTTTTTTTGTTTTAAACAAAAGGTATGAAAGAAAAAATCAATACGACTGAATTCATCGTAAGCTATGGAAAAAAGGAATAAGGACCTTGCTATTAGCATCTGGGGCGAATTTATCGGCTATAACAACATCAGAAGGTAGCAAGAGGCTAACTCCCTTGGCCTTAGCCTTCTCCAATAGCGACGTGGCAAGATCCAACTTGTCTTCTTCGACAAGGGACGACCCTACAGACAGCCCTTGTGCCTTGTAGAATGTGAAAATCATGCCTCCACCCAATAGCAGGATATCACACTTCTCGAGAAGGGATTCAATCACTCCAATCTTGGAGGAAACCTTCGAACCGCCAACAATGGCAGCAAAAGGCCTTTTTGGGCTCGAAACTGCCCCAACAAGATAATCAAGCTCCTATAGCGAAGAAAACTGAAGTCAATTGACAGTCTTTGGTTTCACATAAATCTATAAATGGGTAAAACGGCAGTATAAATAAATGGATAATGAAACAAAGTACCCTGAGGTTTAGTCTATTTGAAAGCGTGCGTGTGCACATACACAAAAAACTACAGATATCTTCCAAGTAATATATACCCACATGAAACCCGCATAGAAAACTATTATCTCCCTCGAGGGGGGAATGACATGAAGTATTACAATTTTTTTTTTTTTTTTTTTTTTTTTTTTGAAATAGATCTAAAGTNTTTTTTTTTTTTTTTTTTTTTTTTTTAAGATCGTTTCGGTTTTTATGGCAGTCAGTGAAATCCAAGGATTAATAACTAATTAGCCCTTGCGGAACTCAAATATTACTATTTCAATAATAAATTTTACGTGTCTAAAGTGCAAGGGTTGACCTTCTGTAAAAGGAGACCAGCTACCGAGGGCTTCAAGAACTTTGTAACTCCCTCAGTAGAGGCGTGTGCTCTGTGTGCAGTACCAAATGCATCATTGACATAAAGATCAGCCAATGAGGCAAGTTTCTTTGCAAACTCGGGCTCGTTCTTCTCTTCCTCTTTGTAAAATCTCACGTTCTCAAGCAAGAGGACACCACCCTCAGGCAGTGAGGCCACCAACTTTTCAACCTCGGGGCCAATGCAGTCATCTGCCTTCACAACCTGTGATGGATATACATTTGCAGAAAAAAAAAATAGATTCATGTTAAGACAGTACTCAATAAGCAAATAATAACATGTAGACCGAATCTGTCTCCTTCTTTGTGCTACTTTCTTTTTTAAGTGCACAATTATTTTCACGTCAATTGGTACCTGAATACCAAGCAGCTCGGAGAGTCTTGGAACAAGAGGTGCAAGACTATATTTTGGTGTGACGCCTTTGGGACGACCCTGAAAAACAAATAATATAAATCAGTAGTGATACTCATGAACTTAAAGACTGGTATCAGTACGAACACAAGTCAAAAAGACTAATAGAATCAGAACATTTGTGGCAGAATAAAGGAGGATGAAGAATAAAGCAGGGACATCACAAGAAAATTCATAGGATCTTAAGTCTCTAAACATCATATTACACACCTATGATAATCAGGGAGAAAATAAGAAAGGGAAAAAACAAGTATTGAGTTTTCCATCTCTAATATCTGGTAACAACTTATCAAATTTGAGAAAATCAAACTCAAAACAATAGAGCTCCTCAGCTCCACATGAGCAGCCCAGGCAACAACAATGCAAATAATACAAAATAATAAAATCCACAGCCACGATATTAGGAACTTCCAATGGTGTGAAAGAGATTCAACTGACCAAGTGACTGGAAAGAATGACTTTAGCGCCATTGCCAATCAGATGCTTAATGGTAGGGATAGCAGCTCTAATCCTCGTGTCGTCAGTAATGTTCTGGTTATCGTCGAGAGGCACATTGAGGTCGACCCTCACGAAGACCTTTTTGCCCTTAAGGTCCGCCGCAGTTAGGTCTCCGACGCTCTTCTTGGCCATGGTGGCGACGGCTCTAGTCGGCCCGGCATTTGAACTCCCGAACGATCGCAGCTTGGTAGCGATGTGGTGGAAGAAGAGGGTGTCAGAGACGAAAACGAGGCGTCGGAGTGGGGTTCTGGCGAGGAAACGAGTGGCGGGAACGCCGAGAGAAGCCCTTGCGGTGGCGGGGGAGATTGATTTCTTGGGGATGGCGCAGAAGGCTGGTGATGCTGCAGTGGACGCCATTCTCAGATGGTAAGGTGTGAGAGAAGGATGGGTTTTGGAAGTCTCTCTCTCTTTAGAGTGGGACTGAGAGAGAAAGAGAGAGAGTGTGTGTTATTTGTGGTGTGTGATTGGGAGTTGCGAGATTTCCCTTATCACTCAGTTGAGGTTGAAGATGATCCTTTCTTTCAAAAAAATTTTTTTTTTCATTTTCAGGTTTTTTACTTCTTTTTCTTTTTCTTTTTTTTTTCATCAAAACAATATATTTTAGAGCATTTATAATGTTTTGGGTCTAACTATACTTATGTGGCATGAAAATAGACTTAAGTCTTGAAAAAATATATAAAAGGAACAAATTGAACTTCAATGCAAAGAGAGTATGTCTCTCCTTGGGTCTAAAATAAATTTAAGGTTAGACTTTCTTGCTGCCACATAAGTAGGACCAGGTCCACTTGCACTAGCATTGGAGTACATATTTTTCTAGATTTGGTCTATTTCCTATGTGGCATGTATATTTTTTTGAATGAACTCAAAACATTGTAAATATTCTTATAAATCGTAGAATGTACAAAGAGGACTAACTTAGAAGCCATACAATCATCCAATCGGGAGAATGGAGGAACACACTCACACGGTGCCCTAAACAAACACTAGAAAGAAGCATAACAAAAGAAGGGTCACCACTGCACCACTCGCCTAGCAGCCCCAACACAAAAGGAACCAAAACAAACTAACAACAACAACCAACAAGAAGAGCCCCAAAGCAACCTAACTAAACAACAAACTACCACTCAACAAAGGAAAAGCAGACTAAACCAACTACAAAATTATCAGCGCAAACATAGTCAACAGCTGAGCTAGGAAACCAAAACAAATAACCAAATTAAGAAAATGAACAGAACCCCAACCAGTCTGTAACAACATTGTCCACTATTGCTTTACCCTCTATTAGAATATTCACTTGTGAGTTGTCCCGCATCGTTTATATAGGGAAAATAGGCCTAATTTATAAGTCTAATGAGCTGCTCCTCATTCTACCAATTGGTTTTGGATGGAACTCCACTTGAGCTTCATCTGGACTTCCCTGCTTATGGTGCGCTTCGCGTGCGTGAGATTGCACCGTTTCTCTCCGTTTCTTTCATGGTATCAGAGCCGGTTCTATGTGGGACCGTTTGATGACGTACCCGTTTTTCCACAAGTACCTGTTTTTGGGAGCTTGTTTTTAGTAGGGCTTGGGGCACTCAGCTCTGTATATGGGCTTGGACTTCTTATTAACAACTCACAAGTGAGGGGGCGTATTAAATATTCACTTGTGAGTTGTCTCACATCCTTTATATAAAGAAAATAGGCATAATTTATAAGTCTAATTGACTACTCCTCCTCCAACCAATTAACTTGGGATGGAACCCCACTTGAGCTTCATATGTGCTTTTCCTGCTTATGGTGCGCTTTAGGATGAAACCCCAAGTTATGGGATGGAACCCCATTTGGGTGCTTCGGATGCAACCTCAAGTTTTGGGATGGAACTACACTTGGACTTCATCTGTGCTTTCTCTGCTTATGATGGGATTCATGTGCGTGGAACTGCATCACTTGGGCTTCATCAGTACTTGTAGCATTTTTCATTTTTTAATTGTGTTAATAAAGTTGAATAAAAAAGATAAAATTATTCCAAAAAAAAAAATCTAGATACGAAACGGGTCAATTTCCCTTCAAATCTGAGAAAAATACAATCCGGGAGAGTACTTTGTTAGATTGATTGCTAGGAAACTATATATGGGACTTATTGGTTAAGCCAAACGGTTCAGCTAATATTAAGAGCTCCAATGGCGAGATTATTCTCGTTTCCCCTCCTTCACTTCTCCGCGCCAACGCCATTTATGTTACCTGCTTCGCCCACCGCTCGATCCCTGCCTTTCTCAGCAGCACTACATTTTTCAAGCACAAAAATCCATGGAGAGCACACCAGAGCCAGAGCTATTCGGGAGTGGCAAGAATACGAAGAAGCAGTTAACAGGAAGGATCTCGGGCGGGCCCTTCGCATCCTCAGAGACGTCTCTTTAGAGCTCGATATTGCCTCTACTGAGCCAACTCGAGCAGCAAGTGGCGAGTTGGGTTTAATGGGATTGCAGAGGGATTGGGAAGTGTTGGACACGTGCCTGAACGCTGATGACCTGAGACTCGTTGGGAGCGCCTATGCGTTTCTCAAAGATCGAGGGTTTTTGCCTAATTTTGGGAAATACAGTAGCATTGGTAAGTTTGCTGCCTATTTTTCTTACTTTCAGTGTTGGAATGCACTTCCATGTATCGGCTTTCTGCTGCACTTTGGGTCGTTAATTGCGATACAGAGATAAAAGTATAACAACAATAGTAATTGGAGCACATACCCTTTGGATAGTTATAGAGATAAAAATATAACAACAATAGTAATTGGAGCACATACCCTTTGGATAGTTATGAAGTTAGGGATCCACGCTGAATGTTTGACGTTTGAATTTGTATTTGGTCGCCTTGTGTTAGCTGTCATGTTATGGTTTAAGGTTTATATGTTGGTTGAGTTAGGTCTAAATGGTCAGATTCTGGCTTTTTGGTAAATGTGTTATGCTGTGATGATGTTTGCTTGGGTTGTCGGGCCCATTTCTTCTAAGTAGATTCCAAAACGATTCTAAAATTGATGGTTTCAGTTGGGATATTGATGATCAGATGGTGTTCATTTCTTATGCTGTGTTTTTATCTTTTTTTCGAAGTGTTGGATTAGTTAGTTAGTTAGGAAAACGTTTTCTTCCTTTTTCCTCCAGTTTTCCTCAGGCACACGTTTCTTTTATTTCTTTGCCAGCTTAGTTGGCACGTGTCATACTACGATTGGGTATTATGGCTTAGTATAGTGTTGCATGTATATAAGCATGTAAGCATCGTCTTCTTCATTTGGATTATACGGAATAATAACAGAAAATTGCCCCAAATTCTATGTAAAAATGGCGATGAATTCTTAAGTCTACAGTCGATGCAATCTTACGTTCTTCATGACTGGTCTAGGCAATTGTTTTGTGCAGTTTTAGAGGGACCAAGAGAAGTTACGCCAGCTGTATTGGAGTCTTCAACAGGTTTGGAAGGTAAATGTTCATGTGTGAATAGGTATTCCCATTACCAGAAAGGCAAATAATGTAGGTTCATCTTCCCATTTAAGAAGAATGGGCTTTTCTACTTGCCACTCTTCACAACTTTAAAATTTTATGTTGGTTGCATGCGTCTTTTTCAAAAATATATCATAACCTCATAGTTTTGTTGCTGTCCAGTTTCAAAATTTTCTCCTAAAAAATGGGGACTTTCTGGAAGCTCTAGTCTTCTTCTGATTGCTCTATTTTCCGGAGTGTCTATTCTGCTCAATCAAGGAATAGATATCAGACCAAACCTTGCCGCAATTTTGGGATTGTCAATGCTGGATGCTATTTTTCTTGGTGGCTCGTGCTTAGCTCAGATCTCTTGTTATTGGCCTCCATATAAGCGTCGAATTTTGGTTCATGAAGCTGGCCACCTTCTTGTAGGTAAGCAACGTTGTGCTATCATTTATCGGTCACAATCTTTTTATACAATGAACCAAAGTAAGTGAAAAATGATATTGCGCATTTCTTGTGGGGATTAATGGTTGTCATTGTCTAAGTTGTGTTGGTTTGTGCTTTGCTTAAATGTTCCTTAGCAATCTACTCAACCTAAATGATGAAATATTTGCAATTTATTCAGTTCAATTTGTGTTAATATTTTCCATTATATAGATGTAAGATGTTCCATTGGTGTTGATTGCTGCTTGTTTAAGTATTCTTAGCAATCTACTCAGCCCAATCAATGAAGTATTAGCAATATTTTGAGTTACATTAACTATACCAACACATTATTTTCAGCATACCTGATGGGTTGCCCAATCCGTGGTGTAATTTTAGACCCAATTGTTGCAATGCAAATGGGAATTCAGGGACAGGTGCGGCTGCTCTTCCATGTTGTCTTTGACTGTTTGACATCAGCGCATTATGTTTTTTTTTATTATTTCTACCAAAGTTCTTTGGTTTCTCTTGTTACCACTTCAAAATGAAGGTGTCAAATATTTGAGAAGTCCAGCTAATATCTTCAGTCGTATAATGTACCCATTCGGTTGTTTGAATTTGCCCGAAGTTTGATGATGTCTTTGAAAGGATCGGTCCATTTATTTATTTTTATTTTTTCTGATTTGGGCATATGATGTTCTTAAAGGTTTCATGGATTGACTAATTTTTGTGAAGGATTGCAAAGAACAAACTAACTGGGTTTTCTTTTCTAATATATTTTGACAATATGATGAATTTATTTATTGGACTCCTGCTTTGACCTTTTTCCTATTGATTGTAGTGAATTTATTACATCTACACTATAAGAAGTTATTCTTTCACACCTTCCCCCGATTTCAAATCCTCCGATCCATATGCAAATTCATTCATTTTGTTTTCTGTTAAAGATCCTCCCTCTTTGGTTTCTGACCCTGAATTCTAAGATAGAGTAAAGTACTAAGGGGGTGATTGGTAGGCGATCAAAACTGGTTTTCATCGATCAGAATTTGACTCACTCACTTTAACTCAAAATCTTGTTCAAATTAAACTCAACCTACTATCCTCAATATTATCAATACAATTAAATAATATCGACATCTCTCTCCTACATCACATTAAATTTAATTCACTATTCATCTACTCACATATTTTTAACTACCTATCACTTCCATCATCCCTCTCCTACTTTTACATCAAATCAACTTTAATCATTCCATTTTAAATATTATTTATTTACAATACTTCTCATCCCACATTCCCACTCAATCAATTTCATTCAAAATAACTCACTTTAACTCTAGATCTAATTTTGATCGATTTTTGCTGGTTTTGACTCCCTACCAATCACCCCCTAAGTATTACATCTCTCATCCCAACAGTGTTAATTTAATCCGGTCTTCGATTGAGATGGTAATTTTGTTCACCCATCACTTCTTCTGGAAAAACAAGATTTGTGCCTCTTAACTTTGCTGAGCTCCTTTTGTGCTCCTATGAAGACATAACAATCATATCTCAATGAAACTTCCTTCCCACTAATCTTGCCATTTTCCATCGCTACTCATTTCCAAGTTTGCCAAAAATGGTTAATTTTGAAATATATGTCTTTGTTTCAATCAGTATCCGTTGTTAAGTGAGTGTTTGGCAGGTAGGCAGGAACACAATTTTGGGATGAAAAACTTGAAAATGAGCTGGCTGAGGGCCGTGTTAGTGGAACTGCATTTGATCGGTATGTGATGTCCAAATTAGTGAGACTTTCCCCAAAATAGACAATGCTCGCCACCTTAAATTAGATATCACATGATGATTTGGTAAGTCTCCCCTGTCTGTCCCCTTTGGAAGAGAGAGAGATACACTTGCCTCTTTTCATCTGTTATCTTTTTGGGGGCATCTCGTGGATTTGGGGTTTTGGTAACTCTGCTTTGCAATTGGAGATAAATATTTGGGAATAAAATGTTTGCCTTTGAATTTGTGAAATTACATGATAACTTATAATCACATATGGATTTATTTTTCCAGTTATGTCAGATTCAACTCTCTTATGATCATATGCTGTACATTTTTAGATACTGCATGGTGCTTTTTGCTGGAATTGCGGCTGAAGCTCTTGTATATGGTGAGGCTGAGGGAGGAGAGAATGATGAAAACCTATTCAGGAGCATCAGTGTACTTCTAGAACCTCCACTCTCCGTAGCCCAGGTCTTTCTCTTACACGAACTTCCTGATTCTGTGGGTAAATTAAATTGTTTGTTTCAAGTACTGGGAAGTTGCAAATTAACAAAAAAGGGGAGTAGTGACTGTTTTCTTATGGTTTAGCATTCATTCTAGTATTTAACTTCATGAGTGATTTGGTGCTAATGTGAATTTGGTGGTGATTATTGATAGAAGGAGCATGCTGTTAGTGGTTATGAGTTGCATTAAGAGGTCAATCATCTTCAAGAATTTCTCTAACATGCGAATGCAATATAATTCCTATAAAAGACTCCACTCTATCACACGGTTTGAAGATTTTTACTTTTGGTTGCCTATTACTAAGTCTTAAAATTGAAAATATCCAAAAGAAGTACCAAGAAGATAGAGAACTTTGGGGGGAAATGTAATAACTAAAATCCTCATAGAAGGACCCGAGAAGACTGAAAGGTGAAATCTAAAAACTCTGAAAATGTCAAAGAACTGTAACTAAAATTAGTAGAATAAAAGCATGAAAAAATAAGTAAACATTTGAAAAACAATATCGGGCTCCTACACATATTTTTCCATGCAGAGAAGGGTCAATTGTGGTGTTTTAATTGAAGTCAATGCGATATATGTGCTCAAAGTTTATTTGCGCTGTGATTGAAATTCAGTATAAAGGTTTCCTTGCTAATGTTCAGTCAGTAATTTTTGTAGCTTAGTTTCACTTTGTGGTTTAGTTAAAACGCTGAAGTGCCGTAATCATGCACATGCTATACTATATGGAAATTGACATTCAAGTGATATATATACAGATGTCTAACCAAGCCCGTTGGTCCGTACTCCAATCACACAATCTTCTAAAGTGGCACAAACACGCCCATCGGGCTGCCGTCAAAGCTTTGGAAAAAGGAGACAATCTGAGTGTAGTCATAAAGAGGATTGAAGAAGCCATGTCTTCTGGTAAATGATGTCAATGTTGGATTTTTTTCTGTCTTTGAACGATATGCAGAGTTATCTGGCTTATTAACAAATTGATCAAGAACTAAATGCATCATCTTAAATGTCTGTAGAAAATATTCCATGTGACAAAGATATGGAGAGGGTGTTTGGTAGATTTTTTTTTTTCCCTTCTCTTAAAGTTGTCTAAGCAGTGCAATGCTGCGAATAGGAGCATATATATACTGTGCAGAGTAGTGAGTAGTGACTGCCTGACAGGCCTGTACCTGGTGACTTTATGAAGGATATGTAGATGGGTGGTTAGTGTTCTTTGCTTTAGTCTATATAATTTTGTCTATATTGTAGTTTTTTGTACGATTTGTTAAGGCAATCATAAATTTTCGATCTGTTAATTCATCTATGCACATTGTATTATGTATTGGGTTCATGATGTTGGGTGCCACGTGTTTAGTAAACTCTTTTTGGGATTTGGGATGGGATGGGATGGGATTGGAATTTGAGGGAAATGGATGCTGTTTTTTTATTTGCGGATTGGTGCTAAATTAGTTGATTCGACCTCATTTAGAGATTTGACCAATTCAATTTGCTAATTAGCGTGTTTGGTGACAGGCTTATTTGTTACTTGATCATCTTTTTAGATCCAAAATATTTTTTCTGAAAAAGTTCTAAAGAGCAGCGTTACGGGAAGAAGGGATTCAAAATAGAAGGGATCCAAAATAAGGTTATACAACCTAAAAACTATAAATCCCCTCTATATATAATTTCAGAATACGCTGAGCATACGTGACAAACAAATACTCATGCTTCGGAATTTTATTTGGCAAAAAATTATGCTTTGGAGTTAGGCTTGGATATAAATTAATATTTGTATTAATTGTATTTTAATATCATTTCCTATTATAACCAATGAATTGTAAATATATTTATTTTAAAAGTTGATAACTTTTGTATTTCTTATCGGTTTTACATATGTAATATATCAAATTAATCGTCTTTTGATAAGTTTCGATTTGACATCGATATTGTATATATAAAATAAATAAAGTATATTTATTTTTATAATAATAATAAAATTATTTATTAAAAAATTAGAAAATAAAATTATTTATCAGTTAATATATTTATGTTTAATGTAGTTATATGTTATAAGGTAGAAAATTTATTATAATATAACACATATAAGTCGCACAAGTAACATGTGTCATACTAAAATATATAATATATACTCCCTTCTATTTTTATTATTTGTCACTTTGGCTTAACTGATCATTGATAAAATAAATGTCAAGTTTTAGATATTTTGTTCATATTTTTTCATTTTTAACTCTTCATGTAATACACAGTGTCTCTTCATATCTCATCTCCATCGTTTCCCATAACATCTATTAAATATGATTAATATTGTCAAGAAAATAAAATCATAATTAGTGTGTTGCATTTGAATTGATATTATGATGTCCCTTTGTATTTTACTATTTATATATATTTATATATAAAATACAAAACAGTAATATATATCTTTATAAATAAAATTTAAATTTATCTATCAAATTAAATTAAATTATCTCAAATAAAACTATAAATTATATTATATAATAATAGAAATTGGTATGTATTCTTTTAAAAATGTTATTTATTTCAAATCTAATTGGTATCTTGTCAATGTAATAAAAATAAATAATTATTTATATAAATTCTAAAATTACATATAAAGTTAAAAAATTGTGAAGCACGACTGATACGACACTTGATGTATTAGACATCTAATTAAATAAAAAAAATTAATCTATTTTACTTAATATTAAATAAACATATTCTACACTTATGCATATACATATCACCATATTATTTCTATTTATTTAAAATATATATTGTACCTATGTAATAGTAAATAATATCGATATCATTATATGATATAAGTAAAAAAATTCAACACGGGTTGACATTTTTATTTAATGTACGGGTGTTTAATTATCATGATTAAAAAAATATAATTTGACAATTTAATTAAAATCCAAAATAATATTTTATATAAAATTAATTTTTTTTAGTTTTTAAAAAATAAAAAAATTAATATTTTTTACAAAAATTTTCTAATTCAACACCCGTGTAATACACGAGTATTGTACTAATATTTGTTATTTACCAATGATTATTTTACAAACCCGCTAATTGAATTCGTTAGTCAAATCAACTAATTGAATCAGCTAATCACTAATATTATCAACTATCCGCTGTCAATTAATATCATCAACTATCCTCTATTAACTAATTGTCAAACAAGATCGTTATCTCTCTATTTTTTGTATTTTGTAATGTTCAAAAACAATCGGCTTAAAATTTTTACGATAGCAAGATGAGGAAATATTGGAGCAGATAATAAATTTTTGGGCCTATTGAATAATGATAATTGACAACTTTTATGTTAAAACCAATTAATATATATATTTTTTATTAGAATTATTTAAGTTTTAATTTTTAAATTGGCCAACTAAAGCAAATAACTATGAGAAATAAAGAAAAATTGTAGTGAAGAAATTAATTAAAAAAAAAAGCAGGGACTTTAGTTTGCCCGCTTACAAATAAATAACTCGGGTCGACAATAACGTATTACAAACTTTAAAACCCTCCTTCTCTCCGTTCTCACCATCCGGCCACCGTTCTGCAGTTATCATTTTCAGTGATTTAAAAGCCGCCGGAATGAGTAGTTGGAGAAATCTCGTGCTTCGAATCGGCGAGAAGTGCTCGGAGTATGGCGGCAATGCCGATTATAGAGACCAAATAGTATGTCTTAATCTATCCGAGTTTAATTCAAAACCCTAATTTTGTTTGTTTATACCTGTTTATGGCTGCCCGAGAGAAAACTGTGGAATTATTTACTTCACTACTCATCATTTGTACCAATTTCCGAAACTTTAGTTGATTATGCCCAAGGATGGCTGCTTGTTCACTACTTCACTAGGCTCTCCCCAAGTTGCAAATAATTTTTATTTATTTTTTGCAGGAGACTTGTTTCGGCGTGGTTCGTCGCGAATTGTCACATTCTCGTGAAGACATTCTGTCTGTGAGGAATCTTACTTCCTTCCCTTTCTTTTGATTTTATCTTGCTTACTGTTCTACACTTATAAGTTCAACTATGTCATTTATAGTTTGCGCTGCTATTCCCTTTTCTGGTGAACTTATAAACGATTAGTTTGCTATTTCATAAGCATTCACGTTATGGGGCCTGTAATGCTAAACCTATGCATGTTATGTTGTGTTCTGGCAGTTCCTTCTCCAGTGTGCCGAACAGCTGCCTCACAAGATGCCTTTGTATGGAACGCTGGTATGATAGCCTCCAAATTCTCACCCAACGAAAACAAAGGAAACCGAAAAAAAAAGATGATCCGCTTTGATGTTGTCATATTTTACCCTGTTTTTTAAGGTCTAACATGGGTGTTTCTTATTGTATACTGCTACATTCTTGTGGTATGTTCTTTCTTGTGCAAGTTGATAGGTTAGTTGATTTTGTTTTTGGAAGCTTGAGCGTGTGAACCATTCATTTGAAAATGCTATTGTCTGGACTCATGAAATTAAAGTAGAAAGTTCTTCTATGGATGAGGATCAAGAGTCGTATCTGCTACATAATTTGAAACCAAGTCATTGTTTTGTGAAATTTCAGTGATTCACTTTTTTTTTGCTCCAATGGAAATTTAAAAGGAATTCATCGCACAATGTATGCTGTGAAATGCATTTCCCATGTAATAGAATATTGATGTGCTGCAACAGCCTAAAAATGCAAGTTCCCTTCATATGTATTATCAAGCTCAGGCTCATGGTGTCTTGGTCTCTTGGAAGTAGTTTATCCATGTGGGCAAACTCAAGTAATCTCGAATAATATATCTATTTGAATTCTAATGATAGCATGATCTGAAATATATCTTTTACTTATTACTTGGTTTCATGTAAGTCAACATCCATCTGATTGTGCGTTGAAATAGCATAGTTGTATAAGTTTGCTACAGATATATCATGCTAGCAGTGTTTACTGGCGGATGACAGTAGGCCAAAGTCCTCCCTCAGCAGCCTATGGCGCAGCCATTCGATAAACACTTCATGCTACTGATGACCTCTTCTCTATGCTTAATTAAGATTCTCCTGTTATTATAGGTTGGTTTGTTAAATTTGGAAGACGAAGATTTTGTGAGGAGAGTTGTAGAGAACACACATGACAGTTTGCAGGTAAGGAAACCAAACCTATAAAATATGATTTGACATATATGTTCAAGTGAATCTATTATGTGACGATGTTTCCTTTCTTCTCTCTCTCATTCACAAGCCATTTGCCCTAATTGTGTGTGTCAAAATTATCTTCTGCTTGAAGTCTGGTTGGGCGTTTGCCGCAAAGTAATCTTTATCTTTTGGAAACAAAGGCCTGTTTGTATTGCTATTTAGCTTATCACGACAGGCTTAGTTAAACATGTTAGCTCTAATATTGTTTACTAATTTCAATATTATTGTTTAATGACAGATTGCATTAGATACTGGAAATTGTAACAGGGTTCGCATACTTATGCGCTTTCTGACCGTCTTGGTACGTTTGTGAGACTGTTCCATTTTGCAACTTTTGTGATACTCTTCCATTTTGCATGAGAAGTTATGTAGCTCTATTTTTAAGTCCATAATTCGGTGTGGAAACCTTAATAATACTGCTGTTACATCCTACTTGTGAATTTGAAGTTGTTGAGATATAGGAAGCTTCCAATTTGTTAACTACCTGGTGGTTCACATATAACTATATCCAAGTTCCATTAGTCTTCGGTTTATATTGGTTTATCATAATTTTTCTACTTCCAATGGAAAATATATGAGTAGCTTTGGTATATTTGCCCCTTTTCTCTCGTGTTCAAAGCTCAAATTTTTAGAATTTACCTTATTTAACATAGAATATTTATTTGATCAAAGTAATGAGGTATAGTTTCATTGACTTGGATTCAACTTATGGAGTAATATTTATGAAGTTCCTGAGCAAAGACCAATGTCAGTCTTTATAGTTCCAGTTATAAATTGCCATGTAACAAATTCAGTGTGTTTATAGTTCGTTTGGCTATGCTCTCTGTGGGAAATGATTGTAAAAATTCAATAAAGATGTGGCGTGTCTTGCGTTTTGTTAATTCTTTTTTATTAAATACAGATGTGCAGCAAAGTTCTCATACCGAGCGCCTTAATGGTTTTGTTTGAAACATTGTTATCGTCAGCAGCAACAACAGTCGATGACGATAAAGGAAATCCCTCGTGGCAAGCTTGTGCAGACTTTTATATCTCTTGTATTTTATCATGTCTTCCTTGGGGTGGAGCAGAACTTGTTGAGGTAAATTTTTCCCGAGCTTCTTCTTTGATGCCAATACTTATAGTTTTGATGAAAAAATTACCAAGGTGATAATAACCATTTGGATTTCTTCTTTTTGAAATTTCTGTTAATTGTGTGACTGTAGATATATATTTCGTTGAATATCTTTCTTTATGTCCCGTCTGTTTGCTCCATTTTAGACCTTTGAATATGTTGTGTAATCGTAGTATTAGAATTTTTCTTGTGCTGGTTGAATATAATTTTATTTCCAGCTGCTGTCGCCCTGGCAAAGAAATACATATAAATTCGAGGTTCATAGCATTGAGTTTTCTTATACTGCCAGCTGATAAAGATCACAGGAGAGTGATACATAGGTTTTAGAACTTCTGATTTTCTCAATGATTATATCTTTAAAAATAATGCTATTATATGCAAGTATTTGTGCTTTTATTGTAACAAATAACAAAAAAACTGACAGTTGCACTGAAAAATCTTTACTAGAAACTGTTATAAATGTGCTAGTCATATGTTGAGATATTCTAGTATCATAATGGGAGTGACATATACTGATTTACTAGAAACTCTGGTTTGTGATGCACAAGTGCATCCATTTATGTGTTCCATTAAAGGAAATGAGTTTATTATGTTGTCAGATTTTAGAGATGGTTACTTAAGCCACCCTACGATAGATATCTATAATAGGTCGAGTTTTATATACTCTATCAAGTTAAACTGATTTGAGGTTCTCTTATATTCATGTTTGCAATCTGTATTTTTCCCAGATAACCAAGATATTTTTGCTAGGTCTTTTTTTTGTGCATTGTGCTGTATGAGATAATATTTGGTTGTCTGATCTGAAGAGGACAAGTTGAATTTTGAACTTAAGTGCTATAGCATCGCCCTTTGAGCCTGTCTGATGTATACTTTTAGTAGTTTTAGTATTAGTATTTATGTTGCTGAATTTCTATCTCATCTTTCTGAGTGTACAAAACTCTGTAGTCTGTATTCCCATGGTGAGGTTGTTATCAAAAGAATTAAGTTTTCTCACCTTGTTTGTTTTTTGGAAAATGATTATAGTTTATTTGAATTCCAGCAAGTTCCAGAGGAGATCGACAGGGTCATGGTGGGAATACAAGCCTACATGAGCATAAGAAGGCATGTCTCTGATGCTGGCTGCTCTGTATTTGAGGGTATTGATGGTAAAAATCAGGGTGTTGTTGAACAGGTAATTTGCTAAATCTCTCTTATTGCATTGCATGAAGTTAACCAAACATATTATCTTTCTACACCCTATTTATTCTTCATTGACATTTCTAATACCACTCATGTTTCAATTCTATGCCTATTCCAGCAAAAAGTTTGAAATCTATCCCGATGGAAGTAAAAAAATGAGATTCTTCAGGGATGAAAACATATTTTCATTCAGAAAGTTGTTAAGTAGTAAATAATGGGATTGGGAAGAAAATTTACGAGTACCAATATATGGTGTATATATATGTATATATTTGATTTTAATTTTTTAACCTTTTAAATTCCAGGATTTCTTGGAGGATCTATGGAGCCGTGTTCAAGATCTTTCCAACAAGGGCTGGAAGCTGGATAGTGGTATTGTTTGTGTTTCTATTTATTTTCTTTGTCCATTGTTTCTGTATGCCCTAAGATTAGACCAAACTTGGATACATAAAAATATTTCAGTTCGTCTCTATTATATTTGTTACTAGGCTGTATGACTTTGAGATTAATTTTATACTTAAACTTACTGGAAAGTCTAGGACATCTAATGGTAGCAAACTATTCGTGCTATGTGCAAGTATCTTATGTTGAGTTGTTTGACTCTTCAACAATAATGTTGCATATGCTCTGGCCCATGCAAACTGTACTAAATGATCTTTTGTTGTTAATACCAATGAGTCACAAACTTTTACTATTGAGAAGTTATTAACAAAAAAGCTAACTAATTTCACCTTCCCATTTTTGTTAAATATTTACAAGGACACAGAATGTTTTTGTGATTACCATAGAGAAGTATATACACTGTTACTTGCAAGACATCATTCTATAAGTTTTGTCAAACCATGCCTGCACAATGGATTTGCTATGGTTATTCGGTACTTGTGTCAGCAGAAGAATGGTATAATGATTATGGACCTTTTGTTACTGGAAGCTTTATAGCTTGTGTAAATACTCTCCTTGGTGTATGTTTTTCTGTCTGTCTACAATCTTTTTTATTCTTCTCCTTTCAGTTCCTAGACCACATCTTCCATTTGAACCACAACTTGTTGGTGGGAAGTCTCATGATTTTGGCCCCTTAACCTGCCCCGAGCTTCCTGATCCACCCGCTTCGGCGACTGGAATTGCCTATGAGAAACAGAAACATGAAGCTGAACTAAAATATCCTCAGCGAATAAGGAGGCTCAATATTTTTCCTTCTAGTAAGACCGAGGTAATTCATTAAATCACAATGTTTACATTTACATGCCTACTGATTCTTGTATATGCTCTTTTGTTTCTTGATTCGGATTGAAAAAGTTGGTGCATTTGATTTTGACTGGCAGGAACCAGATGTTTTCAGGATATGCTATGTGATGAAGTCTTCTTTTTATTACTTTTCTTTTCTTTTTCATTTTAATCTTTAATCAATTGACTATTTCCAGAGTTCAGACCATTCTTTTCTTTTGAAGGAATTTTCTTGGTAAAAAGAACTAGAAATGTAGAACTTTTGCATGCCCTGGTAGAACTCTCAGAATGTAGAGAACTTTATGGTTAATTGGTTATTCATCATTATCTTACATTGCGATGGCTAATCCCGTATCTGATTATTTATCCAGTAAGTAACATTTGCTATAATGACTTGTATTTGGGTCATTTGCTCTTTTACTAATCATCATCATGATTAAATCTCAGTGACTTTTAAGCAATCAGAGTCAAACATCATGGGAAATTGACCTAATGTTCTATTAATGGAACACTAATTCTCTTCATCACACTCTTCTCGGTGGTTCTTATTCTCTGTGTTGTTATTTGCAGAACTTGCAACCTATTGATCGATTCGTTGTGGAGGAGTATTTGTTGGATGTTCTCTTTTTCTTAAATGGATGGTTAGTAGAAGCAATTACTTACTTATACATTTGTGAAATCTGCATAAAATAGTATCACTAAAAGATGTCTTTAAAAAATTCGCTCTATCTTTTGCCATTTCTGTCCGACATTGTAGTGGTTTTCTGTCGCTGGTTCGTATGTGTATTTTCTGGAAAGATAAGGTGGTTGATAACTGGATTTGTAATATAGATAATGAATTGTTTATCTCTTCAGTTTTATCTACGAGAATCATTTTGGTACAAAAATAAGAGTTGAAAGATCAGTAGCTATAGGCTATCTAATTATAGGTGCTTGGAGTTGAATTCTTTTCTACATAGTTACAATCTTCTTGTTCTTTTGTTTTTGGTTACTGCAAAGCTAGTCGAAAGGAATGTGCTTCATCCATGGTTGGCCTGCCTGTTCCTTTCCGATATGAGTACCTAATGGCTGAGACGATATTCTCTCAGGTAAGAAGTTATGATGCAGTGGCTTTTATTTACTTCATGTACATTCTCTTGATTGAATTTTACTCTTTATCCATTATTTTTTTCTATCTGATATTAATTCAACTTATCTAATGAACTGTGGGTTGCAATTTGAAACCATAGACCTTTTAGTTGAGGCTAGATATCAATCCAGAGTTGACTCTGGAAGAATCAGGGATTGTCTTTTTCCTGGATTGTTGAAATGTGTACTTGGAGGAAATTTCCTTTATATTTCCAAGATTGAAGCTGTAACATAGCTGTTAGAGTAATATAATTGGATGGTGGGATATGAGGAGAGGGAGTGGTGTGATAAGATTTTTGTTTCTATTATTCTGTTTTATGTATCATGTCGTTCTTATTCTCTTTGTATGTGGCAGATCCTCTTATTGCCTCAACCACCATTCAAGCCAATCTATTATACATTGGTCATTATGGACCTTTGCAAGGTGCCCCTTAATTTTTCCAAATTTAATTTGTCGTTGCTGACTTCCAAAATGTGGTTGGTACCTTTCAGTGTTCTAACTAAAGTTCCATTCCAGGCTCTTCCAGGTGCCTTCCCTGCAGTTGTAGCAGGAGCTGTTCGTTCTCTTTTTGATAAAATTGCAGACCTGGACATGGAGTGCCGTACACGTCTTATCCTTTGGTTTTCACACCATTTGTAAGTTTGTGTTCACAAGATTTTGTGTATAAATAGGTGTAGTGATTGCTGGAATAACATAAGCTGCCTCATGCAGTCATGAATGTATTGCTATGTGAAGTATAAGACAAATTGTAAGAATTACCAGTATGTGCTATGACGTTGGAAAAGCTTGATTTTTGGAATATTGCATGTGTAATCTGCGAGTACCTTCATGAGTGAATTAGGTGGACTTCTCTATTACTGAAGACGCAATTACCCTTCAGTATGTAACTTGTATAAATTTCCGCGTACAAGTAGGTGTAGTGATTGCAGGAATAATATTGAGTGCCTCATATACTCATGAATGTATTGCTTCCTGAAGTATGAGACAAAATGGAAGCATCATCAGTATGTGCTGAGTAAGTTGGAAAACCATAATTTTGGAACATTGCATATGCTAGTACCTTATTAAATGATTTTGCTTGAATGCTCTACTACTGGAGATGTTTCTCCCTTTCAATTTTTAACTTTTGGGGTTAGGTTTAGTTCTGCTTATAGACCATGAAGAACATAAAAAATCTTCATTTTTTTCTTTCTTTCCCTGGTTAGATTTAGATGGTTTTCAGCACTTAGACCATTTTCTGAAAATAAAATCCTTTTCTGTTTGGCAGATTTCATGCACATTAAATGTAGAAGCAACCTCATCTTGGATCTCATTCTTTGTTGTTGTTTCTTCAGTAGACATATACCTCTTGCATGTGCCATTTAACATATGCGTAGTGTGAACCATCCTGTTGGAGTTTTTCCTCCGGTTTCATCTGTGATTGATTTGCAGATCAAATTTTCAATTTATTTGGCCATGGGATGAATGGGCTTATGTTTTGGACCTTCCAAAATGGGCGCCTCAACGTGTGTTTGTTCAGGAGGTTCTGGAAAGGGAAGTACGCTTATCATATTGGGACAAAATCAAGCAGGTAATATGTCATTCGCCTTTCAATCAGTTGCATTTTCGTCTGTTTTTAATTTTTTGAACAAAGACATTCGTCGCAGTCCGCTCCTCTCCTGCAACCTTGCACTTTCCTTTCCATTTCTCCTGATTGTGTTGTGTAAGATGTTTCGTTAACTAACTCTATTATGTGGTTAAATATCAATAATAAACAAGCCTACCATCAATTTCTTGACATGCTCTCATTTATCCAAAGCAGGTATATGCAATATACCTATCCATTTGATTGGCACCTATTGATCTACCCGGAGATATAATTAGTAACTTATTGTTCTTCACAAGTCTTGAGCATAATAAATATGAGTTGTGACTAATTATGCAGTTTTTTTTTTCTTTTTTTTTTTCTTTTTCATATTATATGGCCCAAGATATTAGGAATGATGCGATTTTATGTGATTATTGGTCTTGGAACAATCTATTGATGGGTTGATTTTATGTTTTAGTTAAGAAATTTATATTTTAAAACTATAAAAATAAATAAGTGTTTATTTTCCGCAAGACTCGCTCGTCCTATTTTATAATAACTTTTCTAACTCTTATCATATATGATAGATAAATTTATTAAATTGATAAATAATAAATTTATTATTTTCTAATTAGGATTGATAGATGATTCAATTTCTAAAAATGTAGATATAGTTATTGTTATATTATTCATGCAATATGGATGTGAAACTGAAATCGAAGATGTCATAAGATAATTTATGCCACTCATGCCAGCACTTGTATGTTGGACCTGCCAGATTAGTTATTTCTCATGTGTCCTACTTTTGGATTTCCATTTGCCTACACAATTATTTGTGAAATGAGTAAATATTTTAGCCCCATGGATTGCCATTTTCTCTGTGCATATAGAGCATTGGGAATATTTGAGCTGGCCAATTTATTAGAGTTATTTTTGGTGCAAGCAGAGCATTGAAAGTGCCCCTGCTTTGGAAGAGTTGCTTCCTCCAAAAGGCTCAATAAACTTCAGATACAGTTCTGCAGACGGAGATCAAACCGAGCACGGTCTTTCCTCGGAACTCACTGCCATGGTCAAAGAACGGTCAACTGCCCGTGCAATCATTTCATGGATTGAAGATCAGGTGCTTCCGGCTCACGGGTGGGATATCACACTTAGAGTGGTAGCTCAGACTCTCCTAAACATCGGTTCAAAAAGTTTCACTCATTTGATTACTGTGCTGGAGAGATATGGCCAGGTCATTGCAAAAATCTGTCCTGATCAGGACAAGCAAGTTATACTGATTTGTGAACTGAGTGAGCTTTGGAAGAACAATGCACAAATGACGGCTATAGCAATCGACCGGATGATGGGGTATCGCCTTTTATCGAACATAGCCATTGTGAGATGGGTTTTCTTAGAATCGAATGTTAACCAGTTTCATATATCTGATCGTCCATGGGAGGTATGATCTTCGCGCCTTACTGATTATCATTATATTCATATATGCCACACTAGTTAATTCTTTCTTTATATCATTGTTTT